CTGTCGCACGCCCCGTGGCGTGCGACGCATTGCGCGCGGCAAGTTGCACTCTGGCGCGCGCCCCGGGGCGATTTGCCCTTTTCTTTCCTGACGCGCCGCCCCCGCTGTTCCGTCGCGGCACCCTGGGGAGCCCGCGCGGCCCCCGCTCTGCTCGTCGCGGCGCCCTGGGGAGCCCGCGCGGCCCCCCGCCCTGCTCGTCGCGGCTGTGAGAGTACGACGGCTTATGCCAGCTATGCTTGCTTGCCTTTACTTTATCATGCTATTTCTAGCATAGGATAATTATATGCATGCATGAATTGCTTGATTTCCTAGGCTAGGTGCTTTCCTATATTTTATTATAGTTATAGCACCGAGCTAGGTTGCGTGCACCGAATTCTGGCTTTTCGGTTGCCACCGAATTGCCTTCTACCGAATTCGGGAAGGATCTGTTCGGGACGCTTCGCGACCCGCGGAACCTTCGCGTAACACCTGGTTACTGGGCCTTGTGTCGAGCCTATATATAGCCTCGTGTTGTACCCAGGTGATCATTCAATTCACATTCTCTTTTCTGAGCTCGATCCTAGATCCTCACAGCGGCGCCTTGGGGAGCACGCGCGGCCCCCCGCCCTTTCGTCGCGGCGCCCTGAGGAGCCGCGCGCGCCCCCTGCCCGTCCGTCGCGGCGCCCTGGGGAGACGCGCCCCCCCCCCCCCCCCCCCCCCCCCCCCCCCCTCCCCCCTAGCCGTCCCCCGCGCTCCTGCCCCGTCCCACCCGTTTTAGGGTTTGGGGGTGAGGAGTGTGGGGGTGGCAGTTGTGGGGGTGTCGGTTGTGTGCGCCGTCCCCTACTCCTCCTCCTCCTTCGTCTCCCACTGCTGCAGCTGTCGCTGAGGGGGGTGGATGTGTGGGAGCCCGGGGTTTAGGGTTTAAGGGGGGTGCCGTGGGAGTGGAGCTAGGGTTTGAGCAGGGGGTGTGTGAAAGGGGTGTGGGACAGGTGGGGGAGGTTGAGTGGAGGTGGCCGCCGTGAAGCCAGCAGCTCCAGTCGCCCGTGAGACCGTTGCGCCAGTCGCCCGTGAGCCCGTCGCTCCAGTCGCCCATGAGCCCGTTGCTCCAGTCGCCCGTGGGTCAGTTGCTCCTGCCGCTCGTCTAGCCGCGGAGCCAGTTACTCCAGTTGCCCGTGTGCCAGTTGCTCCAGTTGCCAGTGTGCCAGTTGCTCCAGTTGCCCGTGTGCCAGTTGCTCCAATTGCGTCGTGTGTCTGCAGCTTCCGCCGTCGCCTCCCATCTCCTCTCCTCCCACAGTCACTCCTCCTCCTCACTTGCCCTCTACGACTGCCTCTAGCTTTACTTGTCCTTGTGAACCTGCTCTGTGACTGCTTGCTATGCTGATTATACCCCACTTTGACTATGGGGGTGTGTCAGAATATAATGCTTGTCTAGTCTGTAGTGGGGTACTCTATAGTGAGTATAACCCTGTTAGGGCTTGCTATTTGTACCTCCCTCCTTTCTAGTCAAACTCCTCTTTTGCCTAAACTTTCTCTTGCCTAGCTAGGGCTTACCTAGCTATGGCTCCTAGTTCTAATCACTCTCTTAACATTTATGGTGCTCAGCTAGGAAGGGCTCGACGGGGAGCAGTACACACTTACCTTCATCGACGCTTCTACGCGCTACGTCTGGGCCGTCAACACCGACTGCAGGTCGCTGGCTTTCGAGTGCTTCATTGCGTGGATGAAGCGGGCTGAGCGACAGTCCGGTCTAAAACTCAAAGCCTGGCAGACAGACGGAGCCCTGGAGTTCTTCTCAGACGAGTTCAAGGAGCTCTTCAAGCAGAAGGGGATTGAGCACCTGGTGTCCCTGCCCTATGCTCACCAACAGTAAGGAGTAGCAGAACGGACAAATAGAAGCCTCGCCACGCGGATGAGGGCTCTGATGAAGCAGTCGGCCATCCCAACAAAATATTGGCCGTTTGCGATGAATCACGCTGTTCGGCTGCACAACTTGCTGTCCTCGCGAAGCCTCGAGAACAACAACTCTCCCTACCGGGCATGGACGGGCAGAAAAGCAGATACACGCCTGCTTCGGGTGTTTGGCTGCATGGTACAGTACAGACCCCACACTGCGAGAACCGGAAAATTTGCTGACCGGGCACGATGGGGCATCCACCTCGGGATCGAAAAGGAATTCAAGGCGTGGATCGTGCTGGACTACGCGACACACGAGGTGACAAAATCACGTGACTGCATCTTCTACAAGAAGCTGACTCTGCCCCTTTTCAAGGAGCACCAGGAAGCCGACAAACTGCCCGAGAGGCTCTTCGAGGGCCACCGCAGCTTTGGCACGTCACACGACGAAGCTGACCTGGCCGAGGATGCAGACGCACCTGATGTCACCCCAATGGACTCCGCTCCGAGCATCCCCCTCACAAGCCAATTCGGGACTCCGATATTCGTACCTCTACACCAACCCAATCCTGACGATATAACACGCGAGGCTCATGACTACAACACTGAGGCGCGCCGATCGCCTGATGCCGAGTTACCACAACCCAACACGTCGCAGGATACCCTCCGCCTCGGCAACGACAGCGATGACAACATGGTCGAAGTTACCAGCTTCCACGACTACGACCGCCTTCACTACGAAAAGTCTGACGAAACCGGTCTCCGCGTTCTCGGCCTCGCCGTCGCTGTTTGCCACACCTCGCCCAAGGAACCAACCACCGTCCGCCAAGCCCTGTCTGGCCCCGACAGTGAAAAATGGAGAGCAGCCATGGCCGCCGAAATCGCGTCGCTGAAGAAACGTGGCACCTGGAAGCTAGTCCCTCGGTCATCGGCAAAGGGAAGAAAAATTCTCAGCGGCAAATGGGTTTTTCGCATCAAAACTCTCGCAGATGGCTCGGTCGACAAGTACAAGGCGCGTTGGGTGGTGCGGGGATTTGAGCAAACGCACCTGGTGGATTTTACTCTCACCTACGCTCCAGTCGGCCGCCACACCTCGGTGCGCATTCTCCTCTGCATCGCCACCATCAAACAGCGACCGCTCCGGCAAATCGACGTCGGCAGCGAATTCCTATACGCTCCCGTCGATGCCATAATCTTCGTCGAGCAGCCGCACGCATTCGAAGAAAACGATGGCGCCGTGTGCCTCCTCCAAAAATCCCTCTACGGAATCAAGCAGGCACCTCGTCTGTGGCAGCAGTACCTCCATTCCGTCCTACTTGAGCTCGGCTTCACTCAGCTGCCGCACGACCTCGGAATGTACAGGCGGGAATCGCGCGGGAAATTCATCCTCCTCGTCGCCTACGTGGACGACCTTCTCTACACCGGCGACGACATGGAGCTGCTGGACCATTTTGAGGCTGACATCAAGGAGAAGCTGGAGGTGACAGTAAACCACAACGTCACACAGTTTCTCGGCCTCAATGTGACTCAGTCCGCCTCCTCCATTCACCTCTCCGCCGCCAAGTACGCCGAAACACTCGCGAAGCGATTCGCCATCGCACCGATCAACCTCACCACCCCCTATCGCACTCCTCCTCCTAACCACGAGCTAGACACCACACCGCTCTCTCCCGACAACCATCGTCTCTATCAGCAGCAGCTAGGATGTCTCCTGTTCGCCGCCGTCACGAACCGGCCCGATCTCTCCTACGTCGCAAGCTAGCTCGCACAGTACCTGAAGCGACCTGAAAGGGAGAATCTACAGGATCTACGCCGAGCACTACACTACTTCATCTCCACCCCCGACGTCGGTCTCACCTACAAAGCTAACCTCACCGCTACTCTACAGCTCCATGGCTACGTAGATGCCGACCACGCTGGAGATGTTGACAACCGACGCTCCCGCACAGGATTTATTTTTCAACTCCAACCTGCGGGACTCATCTCCTGGAACTCTAAGAAGCAGGAACTCATCGCTCTTTCGTCAGCAGAAGCAGAATTCATCGCAGCTAGCGCAGCTGTTTGCGAAGGACTGTACCTGATGGAGCTCCTGCAAGAGGCAAAAGTGACGATGAATGGGCACTTCACGTCACTCTGCGACAATCAGAGCGCGATGAAGATCGCGAACAAGCCCGGCTTCGTCAACCGCACCAAGCACATCGCCCTTCGCTACTTCTTCGTGAAGGATGAAATCGACAAGGGGAGAGACAAGCTGACATACTGCCCGACCGGCGACATGGCAGCTGATTTCCTGACAAAGAAGCTGCCACGTCAGCAGTACCAACACTGCGCCGACCTCTGCGGGATCACCAAGAAATCCCACGTGGCCCACCTTCAGGAATGAAGGGGAGTGTTGAAACAACCAAAAGGTTATATAAAGCATTCCCGAAGTTGCTCCACTGTACCAGTACCGCAATAGCTCATATAGAGCATGCGGAATGTCGAGGGTCATCTGAAGGTCAACCGTCTGAGGAAGTCAACGGTCGTGACCTTTGACGATCCAGTAACCGCGCGACAGTTAATTCACTGCAACATGGTAACTGTCGAGGATAGCAATATTCGCGGTTACTGTAGCTATGCAATACAGTTAATAAGGGAATGTACCCCTCAGAGTACATGGCTAGCTAGATTTCTATTTAATCTCTTGTACTCCTATCTTTCAATCATCTTGTTCTCTTTCAATTATTATTCAACAAGGTCACTACATAGACTTCTTTGTCTCCTCTCAGACTTAACAGATCCTATTCTATCTACTGGATCCTTTGGTTGTATCGGCACGCATCAAAGGCACTCTCTGTTTCCCTCTTCGTTTCAAACTCCACAAACACAAACCCCCTGTGGCCCCCGTCGAACTTGCGTGGTAGCCGCCAGGGCTGACGTTTCGTTTTAGGACTCCCTGATTCCAGTAAAAATTTTGACCCTCTATTATGAGGGCACATTTTTCGCAAGGTAGCTACCCTGATAGCTCAGTGTCACACGAAGTCCAACTCTGACCGGACAGGGTTCACAGCTCAAAAACAGGGTTGCTATTAACAGTGCACTATTTTCCAAAATGATACAACTGCATGCACTTTCCTACTCTATCTAGTCTAGTGCACGGGCTTGTCTATGAAGTACACCTCCTCCACATCCTCATCGTCCGACAGGAATGGATTGTCCTCCGCTTCCTCCTCCCCCACGATCTCCTGATCGTCGCCGAAGGCCTGTTCCACTTCATCGTCCTCCTCCTCCTCCTCCTCATCCTCATTCTCCCCGGCATTTCCAGCAGCCACATCTTCACCCTCCTTCTGCTTCCCCCTCCTCTCCCTCTCTGCCACAGCCAGCTTCAAGCTCTTCGCAGGGCGCCTCCTCCGCGGGGACCTCCACACCTCCAGTGCCTCCGGCCAGTCGATCTCATACTTGAGGAGCGATATCTGCATCAGCTCCCCCAGACGCGCGTTGCACAGCGCTCCTCGCACCCAGGACTTGATGACGTTCTGCCTGGAGAACCCCCTCTCGCACTCCACGGTGGAGAGGGGGAGCACAGCCAGCGCCTGCCACAGCAGGATGAGGTTGGGCCATCTCCTGCCAGGCACATTCGTACACACAACACAACGGAAACAGTTAGCGATGCGCAACAAGATTGTAAAACCCATGTTAGCAAAGTATAGGCTACCTCTTGGAGTCTGCGCTCCCAAGGAAGTTGGACATGCCCTGGGTGAAGCTCTCCATCTCATGGTGTGCCTCCATGATCGCGCAGAAGGTTGGAAGCTCCCTCTCTGCTGCTTTGAGGTCGAATCCCGGCAGCTTGTTGCGGAACAGCCTGCTGCATCCGTTCAGCCACTCCTTACACTTCTTCTCTCGCTGGGCCTTGATCTTCGGCCACTTCCCCGCCCGGAACAGCTTCGTCGGCCCCAGCTTCCCAAGGTCATCCAGTCGGTTGTTGAGGTTGTCCACGCAGTCACGGGCGAATTTGCGGCACAGCTTCACGCAGTCTGCGTAGGTGCTTCCGTGTTTGTGCCCCTTCAGCTTCCGCTCATGCATGGTGTACAGGTGGTTGATCGGGCGTCCAGCACCGTCCACGCCGCGCACCCGGACCTGCTTGCCTCCACCCTCCTTGTGGACTTTGAGGAAGTTCACCAGCCAGCTCTTCCCTTCGCCCCCGAAAGCTTTCTCTGGCGTCAAGTAGCGCTCCGTCAGGTCACTCGTTGTGGACTCGATCGTCTTCGCAATCTCAGTCACGTCCAGCTGTGTCAGAGCAGGGGTAGACAAGAGGGAGAAGGATGAGCAACAGTGCAGTTACGAACCTCACGTAGCAACATCATACAAACATGCGACCTCACCTCTCGTCTCTGGAAGCAGCGGTTGAGGTCGTTCATGTCCGCCAAGATGGCGGCCAAGAAAAACAAGCAGAACTGAAACTTGTAGCAGGTGACAATCTCGTACGCCTTGTGATTGTGCTCCCAGAGCAGCACGATGCAAGCGCCGAGGACCTTGCACAGCCTGGCTACCGCATCTCCTCGAGACAGCCACCACACCGTGTGGATGCCTTGGACTTCCAGGTTGGTCTTGTAAATCACACGCTGCAGGTACTTGAACCGCTGACTCCACACGCTGGAGTTTCCGAGCAGAGTCGCCACAGTGCGCACCACCTTGTCGATCATGCCGAGATCCGAGTTTGAGTCAGCGGCGTCCTTCACAGCCAACGCCTCACTGTGAAAAGCAGGGAACAAGTATTATGGTTTGTTAGTAAACCAATCAGCGTAGATAACATGCTACAATACAGACCAACTCACATACCGATGGGCGATGCAGTGGCATGAGAACAGATGAGGGACGTGTTCACGAAGACGCGCCACCAATCCGTTCTCTCTCCCGGTCATGACCGACGCCCCGTCCGTGCTGATGCCGACGATCTTGGACACATCGACGGCAGCGGAGCGAAGATGGTTCAGAAGCACCTCAAACAAGGACCCTGCATCACACCGCTCGACCGTCAGCAAAGTGAAAAACTCGCATGCAACTTGGCGGTTCTTCAGAAATGTAAGGTACACAATCATGTGTTTCCCTCGCGTGCGGTCAGTGCTCTCGTCGCACTGGATGCCCAGGAACGGTGATGCCAGGACGTGGTCCATCTGCACCCGGGTGAGGTAAGTGCTCATGCTGTGGACCATCTGCTGGAAGCCGTAGCTGCAACAAAGGACAGAGAAATTATCAGTACACGATAGTCAAGCAAGTTGTTTGACGTGCATGTTTAAATTTGCAATCAATTTGAACCGTCACTTACCGCGTGAGATAAACGCCGTACGACTGCCGGGGAATGTCTGGCGTGTCCTGCTCCGCAAGATGCCGCATCAGCTTAGGAAACATGCTAATCGGCGCGTCGCACTGGCACAGGAACTGAGTCGACCGCATCAGCCGTATCGCGCGGCGGCCCTCGGCGTCGGAGTTGATGAAGTCTGAAATCACCTGCTGCCCCTCGCGGATTCCCGCCGCAATCTTCATCTGGCGGTCCACCGCCGCCATGTGTGCGTCCGTATGCTCGTGCGCCCGGAACGACTGCGTCTGCAAGTCACGGCCTCCGTTGTCTCCCTGCATGGCGTACCTCGTGTTCCCCTTACCGTACGACATGCAGATGCTGCACTTCACGTACGGGAAACCGTCCTTGGTTTTCCCAAACACAAGCCAAGAAAAGTAACCCGCCCACTTCGTCTCGTAATTAATACTCGCCTCCAGGTACATCTGCTCTCGCAGCTGCGTCTTGGTGAGTGCCGGCGAGCCGGTATCCGCGCGCACCGGGATGTCACCTTCTCCGGCAGCTCAGCTTCTTTCTGTGCAGGCTCATCGGGCTTTTCCGGCGGTGGAATACGGCGGCCTCCCACCAGCAGAGTACTCTGCGCCCACTTACCAGATCGCGCACGCTTGGGAGCGGAAGTAGCCGACGGCGGGCCAAGGGACACCCGCACCGTGCTTGGAGTAGGACTGGGCGAGGGCGGTGGAGGATCTTTGCTGCAGCCAGCAACAGCCGGGGGGAGAGTGAACGGGACGGGAATAGGAGAAGCAGTAGGAGTAGGGGTTACTACAGGGGCAGAGTCGTGAACGGTAGACCTAGGCGGTTCAGGTGTGACGGGAGCAACCGTAGCTCTAAGAAAATCTAGCCCAGAGCGGGGAGCATCCGAAGCTTTCTCCGGCTGGGACGGCGCTGTTGGTTTCGCTGTTACAGGCGGCTCGTCGGGGCCAGTGTCCGGAGCAGCTTCGTCGGCCGGCATGGCCTCCATTGGTGGCTAAACTGAACGAGAGGAAAATGAGACAATGAATGCACGGAATGGAAAGAAAACACCAGTGAACAAAGGAACGTTGGCTGTTGGTAGGGGGAGGGAAGGGAAGGTTGGAGATGGCGGGAGCACGAAACCACCGCGCCGCGATTCCACGGACTTGATGGCAACATTCGACGATGAATTCGTCGTTGCATTCAAGGCCGAATTCATTCACGGACTCCTTGGCTGCCACCGCATGCTGTCAAGAGGCCATTCTGGCCAATGGCAGACACATGCTGTGCACTCTGCGGTGCGCGTGGCAGCACCGTATCATTGATTTGGCTGCGTTGGCGCTGTTGCCAGCTGTGATGTACAGCAAGTCAGTGTTTTCCTTTGTCGGTATTACGTCACTCACGGGCGCGTGAAGGGGGTACCTCACATGGGGCCACTCGAAGAAATGATTACGCACAAGGGGGTTATCGAAACGAAGCTTCTAGGAAACTTCGTCCCGATACCCTCGCATTCAGGGTCCACGGAACGCATACCCTGCATAGACAGAGTCCGCAACTACACTACTCTGAGCCTAGTTACAAGAATTCAGAGTCCGTTAAGTAGCTTCTCTGATTGGATCAGAGTTCACAAAATACAAAACCTGAGTTTGCAGGGACCACCAAGTCAGAAGCCTGTAATCACCCTGAAATCAGGGTAATTACCCTGATAAAATCAGCCCTGGTAGCCGCATGCTCTTTAGCTGAGGGTTGGGTGGGGAAGGAAGGGAGGGGGTAGCTTGAAGGACAGTTGTCAGGAAGCAATCCAAAAAGGCACCTCCCTCTAGAGGCAAAGCCCCCTGTGGACCCTGTGGAGAATACTATTCTACGGGAGAGCTTGACTAGCGTGGGACACACGGTCAGAGTTCTGGCAGTGATTCTCAGAAGTAGACTTAGTTGCCTTTGTAGAATTCAAGCATAGTTCCACTAGCAAAAGTTCATAGAACAAGGTTATGGTACAAGCAAAGAGAACCAAATAGCAAAGACAACGAACCCTGTAGAAACGTTCCTCGACAAGCATTTGAATCTGTCGAGTCAGCAACGGCAGGTGAAACGACAAACACATGCATATGTCACCTGAGTTGGTAGTTGCTCAGGTTTACAACGTTCATAGTTGTGCACGTTTTTACTGTTAGTAAAAACGTGTTTCAGGTTCAGTTTCCTTACTGAATCGAATTCTCCTGGGGAGTACAATTTTGGAAATTACCTAATTGGTCGAAATTTGTTGTTTCGTGATTGGGCGAAATTCGCGCACATTGCAAATTTTGGAGCTGAGTAATTCTGGTCGACCAGAATCGATCTGCTCGACGAAACACTCGTCGAACTAAATTCTGTCGACCAGCAATCCGTCGAAACACCAATTCTGCCGATTCCGTCTATAAAAAAGGCTCGTCTTCGACGCCGTTTTACTCCTGTCGACGAGCTCCTTCTAGACGAGAACTTTGATCGAGCAGAGGAAACACTTCTACCTCGACCAATTAATCTCGTCGATAAACAACTCGTCTCACACAGATAAAAGTCCCCGAAGTCGCCGATGACCACGAAACGAACACCGTCTTGTTCCGAAATGCATCGTCGACTTCGCCCAAGCGAGGGCGGGGCCTTTTCTCTTCGACACTCCCCTGCCCAGCTCACGCTTGTGCACCCACACACAAGGTCCTCCCAGAACCCAGAGGGATAGAATACAAGGAGAAATTTCCTTCTACGTGCACCGAACACATAGCACGTAGATCACCGCACCAGCCGTGCAGAAAGGGCACGGCACCTACTGCTGCACCTCGTCATCCCCGTCGCCCACGTCGGCCAGACGCACTTGGCCGATTGCGACGGAGCACCGGTTGAAAGCCGAAAAATGCAGCGCCTTTGTCAGAAAATCCGCCGGCTGCTCGGAGGTCGGAATGTACTGCAGAGCAATCTTCCCGCGCTTCACCATCTGCTGCAGCCAGGCGTAACGTCGCTCCATGTGCTTGAGGTTGCCCTTGAGCCCCAAGCCCTCTGCGACAGTGATCGCCGACTGGTTGTCTACGTGCAGAACAGTCAGCTTCCATGGGTCGAGCAGTCGGAACTCTGCAAGGAGGAAGCGTAGACGGCGAGCCTCCTTGCCGGCTTCGGTGGCCGCGACGTACTCTGACTCGGTCGACGAGAGCGTCGCGCACTTGATGCGCTGGCTCGACCAAGAGACTGCGGCTCCTCCGAAGACGAAAGCGTAGCCGCCCGTGCTCGTCCGATTCTGCTTGTCGCCAGCGTCGTCGGCATCTGCATAGTCGACCAGACAGCGCGACTCTGGTCCTCCACCGAACTCCAGAGCGGCGTCACGAGTTTCAGCGAGGTAGTGTAGACAGCGGTCGACCTCGCGCCGGTGGTTATCGCTCCGCACTGTCAGGCCGGATCCAAGCTTGCTGCAAGCAAAAGCAATGTCGGGCCTCGTCAGTATAGCGTCATGCCCTCGTGAGGTCGAAGGAAGTCCCGTAATGAAGTCGAGGCTAACGATCTGCCATGGCTGCTCCGGGTAGAGGCTGAAGTAACCCTGCTTTTTTCTGCTTGCTACTCTTCACCCGCTGACACGTGTCGCAAGATGTGACAAACTGCTGCACGTCTGCTGCCATCCCGGGCCAGTAGTAATACTTCGCTATTCCCACTAACGTCTTGTTGCTCCCGAAGTGTCCCGCGTATGGTACGTCGTGAAACTCCTCCAATAGGATCTGCCGTAGCGGGGCGTAGTTCGGTACCCAAATCTTCCCTGAACCCTTCCTTACAGCTAAGTCTTTCTCCCACTGTAACAGCTTCTTAGTCTGTGCTGTAGCGATCTCTGCGTCCACGGAGTACCCATGTTGGAATAGACCCTTGAGCAGAGGGTTCATCCCTTCGAGCTGGATGCCTGCTACATGTCCGGGGCGGCTCAATGCGTCGGCCTTGTTGTGTAGCCCGGGCTTGTAGACGATGTCGTAGTGGAAGTGAGTTTCCAGGAAGTCCACCCACCGCACCTGTCGTCGTGAGAGCGTCGGCTGTGACTTCAGATATTTGAGACTGCAGTGGTCAGTATAGACTGTAGTCTTGGCTCCCTCTAGGTAACACCTCCACGCCTTGAAGGCTATGACTATCGCTAAGGCTTCCTTGTTATGGATGGGGTAGTTCAGTTCTGCTCCGTGTAGCTTCTTACTGAGGTAGGCGATGGGCTGCAAACCGCGTCCGTGATCCTGCATCAGTACTGCTCCGACTACTTGGCCACTAGCGTCTGCTTCCACCACGTAGTCCTTGTCTGGATCTGGTAGGATGAGTACTGGCGCTGTAGTCAGTGCTGTCTGTAGCTGCTCCATGGCTTGCTGATGAGGAGTGTCCCATTTGTAGGGCGTATCCTTTTTCAGTAGGTCGGCCAGTGGCGCTGCTATCTTAGCGTACTGCGGCACGAACCTGTTGTAGTAGTTGGCGAAGCCTAGGAACTGCTGTAACTCCTTCACGTTCTCCGGTACTTTCCTTTTCTTGACGGCTTCGATATTCCGCGGGTCCACGTGTACGCCCTCGGCACTCACCACGTGCCCGAGAAACTGCACCTTCTTCAGTGCAAAGTCGCTCTTCGACAACTTCACGTAGAACTTGTTTTTCCGCATGATCTCGAACACCTTCCGCAGATGCTCCACGTGCTCCTTCATGTTGACCCAGTCGATCTCGGGGTGGAACCGCTTCAGGAAATCTCGCCCCAAGATGAAATCTGATCCCTTGATGTTTGTGATCGGCAACGTCGGCTTCCACCTCAGCGCCCCTATGTGCAGCTGCAGTGATGCTTCGCCGTGGATGGGAAGTTTCGTACCGTCCACCATCGTTGCCGTGAACTTGGTCTCCTCTGAAGATTCTCCAATTTTCTCGAACGTCCCGCGGTCGCACACAGAGTGAGACGCACCGCTGTCCACCAGTGCCTGGAGGCGTCGCCCGTTGCAGATCACCTCGAGTAGTACTGGTTGTTGCTGCTCCGAGTAACCGTAGATGGTCTCGCTTATAGGATCGTAGGGTACGTCGAATAGATCATCCCTTGGTCCTGCGCTCGAAGCTGCTGACCCCATATCAGTTTTCAACTGAGTTGGGTTAGAATGATTTATCAGAGGCGGATTCAGCTTCGTCTTGGCCTGGAACCTTCCCTTAAGCCTTTGCAGCTGTGTAGGCTTCTCCTGTGGGCAATGGGGAGCCTTAACACCATGCTGCGGGGAGAGAATATGAACTCCTTGGAACGCACGACCCTTTTCAACGCTCCGGAGTGGTTTGCCCAACATCTCAGGTACCTGAATAATGTCTAAAGGCCTTGAAATCTCCCCTGAAATTTTTAATGGCTTGAAAACCTCGAGAGGGAATATTCTTACTCTCGGGGGTGTTCGGCTGGGGTTTCCCGGTCGGTGCAGGGTCTTGTTTCGCGGAGCCTCCATTTGTCTCGGCGATTTCCCCTGTT